GCAGCAGACTGTCATCACTCAATGGCTGGATATTTAAGTGGTGCCCCGCAGAATAACGTAGGTGTAACAAAGTCAATGATTGAGAAGGAAGAGGGCGGGGTCGGCTTGACTGCTGCTGGTGATTTTATTCGGGTTTCAATAAATAAACAGAACGTCGCGCTACCAGCACTCAATATAGCACAATTGCATAAGCAAAAACATAGGGGCTCTCCAGGAAGGTTCGACACATGAAAGTACGTGTCCTTCAGGTCGAACGCTGCAAACCAATCTCGGGGACGGATGCACCGGAAGATGCGTTTCTGCGTCAACATCTTGAACGGTAACCAGTGAAAGGCCCGGTTCAAGACACTCAGGTCCAAGATTGCTCATAACCCACTGCCTTTCTTGGGTACAATGAAGTAGGGGCTGTAAAACTCCGTATTCATATCGACTGGAGGGACCGGCTCTATCGCATCATTCGCCAGTAGGACTGCGATCTCTGCACGCAAGACAGGGGCATCTGCCGCCTGATCCGAGACTGGCCAGTCCACAACTCCCCGTCCCCTCTGGGGACCCAGAGATAGAAGAAACTGCTCTTTTGTCGAGGTTTTGGGTACCACTGACCATGAAGTCAGTGGCGGGGAAAGAGCATCGGCCGCCTTCACTGTCGTGAAGCGGATGCCACTGAACTTGGGGGGCCTTTGTTGATGCTTTCGAACCACCCGCTGCTGCCTGCTGGCGATGGAGGAGGATGAATGTGGTCCGGTGTTGGTCCATCCGCGACTCTCCGTGCCCTCCTGGGACAGAGAAGACCGCTCTCTCGTCGAGATTTTCCAGATTCTCCACCCGGCCCTCCTCCGGGGGAGGGAGAGGTGCCTTCGCCATCCCCCAAAGAGCAGCTTCCTCCTTCTTTGGGTCGCCCGTCACGAGGCCTCTTGCTCTTCCGCTCACCTCCAGGTTGACGGGGGCCTGGACGGGTTGGAAGGCCTGCCTACGCCCAGCTCCATGGCGCTGCTTGCTGGAGGCTGCAGCGGATGTGGCGCGGGAGCAGGGGCGGACGCAGGGGGCCACCCTCGGCGTCGAGCAGGCTGGGCCCCGGCGGG